AGCGAGTTCAGTATTCGTCGTTTGTTCGTTTAGTTTGGATGTTGTGTCAAATAACTTCGCTTCTCGTCGCTCGGTTTTATAATTTTTATTCAATTTTTCTAACAATCAAATGTAATTTTTGATATATTTTCACCAACTATAATTTAAACGATAATCAAGTGCGTGCGCGTATGTCTCATTCTCTCGCTACGAACGTTCTTTAAATTTCGGTGTATTTAATTTGAAAGAACATATTTATTAGAAATACTATTAGAAAGAAAGCAAATTGTGCAGTAACAAATGTGCGTGAGCAAAAGGTAATCGCAAGTGTGCGTTGTAGAGGCAAATATTGACAGCTGTCACCTGTCGCGAAGTCGTGGCAGTTATCGATGCCACAGCTGCCAGTTAGCAGTGAAATCGTAGTACTCACGGCGTCCAGCATTTCTGCAATTGTTGCATATTTTGCCGGCAAACGCTAGTAATTAACGACCGGTCAGACCCCCTTGACTTGTATACATACATACAAACATACTCAAGTGTAGCGCATACAATAAATAATAAACATCAGCTGGTCGCTGCGCTGCCATTGCACTTTGTACGTAGTGCCGCGTTACCCTCCCCCTTTTCGGGCTGCATATGTAATATGTAAGTGTCGGTGTGTTCGTTTTGTGTCGACAATTCGTTGTGCTTCACTTTGCGTTGCAGTTGTTGAATTTATTATTTATTACACAGCAAAAAAGTAAACTCAAAAGGGCATAAAAAAATTGAAAAAAAAATCGAAAAAGCAAAAACGAAAAAACTACTTACAACGCGTACGCGAATAAATTCATTACAATTCATCAAAATCAAGTGAACAACAACGAAAAAAGTTAATTATCGTGCATATTCACCCTTTTGGATTTCTGTGCTTGTTGGTGGCGAGACCCCAGGGCCTCAAGCCAAAGGCCGTCAGCTCAAGTAACGAGCTGCCATTGTATGCGCTTATCAAGTCGCAAATGAAGTGTGTATAAAATGGAAATTATGTATTTGTGGGCAAATGTGCTTATGAAGTGCTGAATTGTTGCAGAAATTTGTGCTAAATTGTGAAAGTGTTGAATTGTGAACGATAAGCGAGAATTTATTGCAAAGAAAATATTCTGCAAGTGGACATATTTATATAAATATTGCTGAAATAAGCGATAAATGCAAATATGCTTAAGTGATTATAAAATACAGAAATATTATTCTAATTATAATTATACAAGTGCATTTTAAGAAATTATTACGAAGGAATGCAAGTTTTGCAGAAAATTCATTAATAAGCACATTTTAACTCACACCATCGCTATTTTTGAGGTAAATATATGCAAAGATAATTTTTATTATGATTTTAATTATCCTTCGATGATAAGATAGTACTCGAAATTAAAATAATATACTAAAACTCAAATAAGCTTTTCGCTATTCGAGGAAAGCAAAAGCTAAAAGTTGGATAAATATGAATAAATGATTGATTGGAGATGGTAAAAATTTAATTTTAAAATAATAATATAATTTAGCAAATGGTAATAAGTAAAATTCTATAATGCATTGAGAATTTTCACACTTTCGGTTTTAAAAAAGTCATTAGAATTGATTAAATTTTTTTCGATATTGTATTTTGATTAAGGCAGTTAAAAATTTTGAAATTTTTAAAAATAAATTTTTCTAAAGTACTCGAATGTAACTACCCATCGTTAACTGCTAAGTTTCAGTTTAGATAAGAGGAATATTTCAACTATTGTGTGAATATTACGATGTAATACAATGTTTTATTATACCTTGAATAGGGTATATTAAGTTTGCCACGAAGTTAGTAAAAGCCAGAGGGAAAATATAATATATATATAAATGATCTGCGTGACGAGCTGAGTGGATTCAGCCATGTCTCCTTCACCTTAAATTTTGCACAGGTAATTTTCTCCTCAAGTAGCTACATATTTGTCAAAACCTCCAATATCGGATCATTATAGTATATAGCTGCATACAAGCTCATGAAACTCAGGTCCTTGCTTGGAAATTTTTTTATTTGATAATGTATCTTCACGAAATTTGGCGTAGATTATTGTCCAAAGTTTCGCTTTAATCTACGAACAGATAATTCAGATCGAACTACAATAGCATATAGCTGTCATACAAACTGACCGATCAGACTCAATATAGATATATTTTTATGCTATAAAAAATGCACCTGTGAAGTATACAAGTATTAAAGCTCCGATGCAGCTATAGTTAACTTTTTTTTAATAGATTCAAGAAAATTACTATATAAGTTGCAACTTGCAAAGTTGCTTTAAAAAGGTTAATAGCTTTTTAGATCATTATTGATTTCTTTATATACAAACTGGGATTACTGAATAGTCAATATTGAACTTCTACACTTTTTTTAAATCTATTGTTTTTATAGAAGACAATAACTTTTATAACTAAAGTGTTTTTTCGCATTTTGTTGACATATTTCGATAGGCTATCCCTTCAAAAATAACATAGTAAAATCTTAAATCGATATCTCAAATAGTTCTTAAGTGCTTCTTAAATGTAATATTCTCAAATGTAATATATCAAAAATCGGCTCACACTAGGTGTGTCGCTTAAAGTAATATTCCATTTTTATTTTATTATGTGGGTCTAGTTTACTATTTTTTTTTCCTCCTTCAAAATAAAAATATTGCTTTTTTATTTAATTGACTACTATTCATGTTTTAAGGAATCGATTGCAATCCCTTTCTTAGTTATTTTCTATTTAAAATGTTAATAATTACATTTACTTAATTTCATATTTTAATTTGATATGATTCACTTGATGTTACAGCGAATTTGCTCGCGGTATTTTTAACTGTTTAACTTTTTTACTGTAGTCACTCATACCTTATTGTTGTATTGTATATTACAAAATTATGTCCTTCACACTACTTGACATTGAATTCGCAAATAAAATTGAAACTACTCATACCTGGCGGCCATTAGACAGTTGCTCATTAAGCTAGCGCCTACACTATAATTAGCTAATTTTAGAAAATCATCAAGCAATGTGAAATTTAATTAACGGTAGACGTCAGTCACACACTATTATTGAAGTCAACAATCAGCAAATGCAAGCGACTAACTAACTATTTTATTGTTGTACTGGCGTCTGTGCATCTTTAGCAAACTATATGCTGAGAGTGAGCGGAACTAATGCGTTAATTTTTGTTTTAAAATCTTCAAATTAAACAAAAAAAAAGTCATTACTGCTTTATTCGATTTATCTGCATATGAAAATTGGTGAATAGAACAAACAACTGGCATAAATCACATTAGCTGGCATAATCTAATATAATACATTAAGAGTAAGCCTTAACTTGACATACCCAATTACTAAATAAAATCTGAAATTGGATATTTTGGACTTTTACTTGTTCTATTCATTAAATTTTTATGAAATGTTGCAATATCAAGCATTAATAATTTCGTTTATTATTTTTTAATTTTTTCTACTTCAACATATTTCACGTATCGATATTTTTATATAGACATCAAATAAACATTTATGTATATGTGTATATTTCTGTGAAACTATTTTTGTATCGCCCTTGTAGTTCCCACAAGTGTCCGAAAGCCAGCTGCTTTCATTCTTCAAAAATAGTCTAAATGCAACATCTGTTTCCTCTTATGGTGCGGGTGCTGGTAATTTACGCTTTCATTACTTCAGGTACCGCCTTCAAATTCTCAAACAGCTAACGCAACCTTCGTGCCCTTATTCATTAAACCTGTCAGATATTTTCCCGCATATTTTATTCAATTAAGTCGAGTTTAACAATTTGTTAGGGTTTTTTTTTGGCTTAAAGAAATTAGATTTTTGGGATTTTTTTAGTATTTTTCCAAAGGTTCAAAATATGTATATTTAAATACGTGTGAAATATAATATTTGTGTCTGGGGTTTTCAGAACTTGAGTTGTTTGCAACTACTTTCCGTATCACCAGATTGCTGATGCGAAATAAGTTAAACTGTTTTTTATTAAGTTAAATAAGAGTTGAAAAGTCATGGTGTTGCCTAAATTAAAGTCATATTATTTAAAAATATATGTATGCTTGTATAAATATTCTCAAAGCCTAGGAAAAGTAACTTTAACCACCTACTTCTTTACTCCTAAAACACGATGGTTGTAAATTGAATCACGTGCGTTTACTTTTGCGCATGCTTTTACTAGTAGTTAGTAATACATAACAACAAATATATATGTACTTACATATTTATTAGATACATAAATGCATATATGTATAGATATGCTTTTACTTTTATGATTGCTTGCAAATGTTTAAAGTACATTGACATTATTCACGTGTAAAGGGTTTCCAAATAGGGATTATTGAATTTTTATTTATCACAAAGTATGATATAATCGCAATTTTGTACCATAAACTTATGAGGGCTCTCCGCCAAGTTACTTTTAAGTGCACTAAAAAATTTAGCGGTCCATCACTTTAAAGTAACTCTTTAAAAAGGCTGTTTACTGATATATTTGACAGTAGTTTTTTGTATGTTCCTAGTTGTCGCAAATCCAGAGACTGTCTTTAGCATAGTCTAGTAGTGTGCTTGCTAACTAATAACTTTATGGTACATCATAACAGCTAAGTGAATGCCAAATAAGATTGGATCAAATAGTTGAGATCTGCTTGTCCAAGACTTAATATCATAACGAGTTTTACTTAAAAAAAAAAAATTATTTATTTAGCTAAACCGCCCTATAGAATTAAACTTAAACTCGGTAACCAATATTGCCTTCCCTACATGAGAGCAATTGGAAAGGGGTGAGGTGGACAGGTTACAGGGATAAGTATCTATACAAATAGGTCCAAACTAGATAATCGTGTTGTAGGTGGTGTCTTTTCAGCTAAATTATATATTACCAAAATCGCATTCCGACTACCAGGCCACTGCAGTGCCTTTCAAGCGGAGATCACAGTAATTAAGGAAAGCCTTCTTGTTCTAACAAACGGTGTGTTCACAACAAGAAATATATTTATATATACAGATAGCCAAGCGGCTTGGAAATCACTAAAGTGTTTTCGGTTTTCATCGAAGATAGTGAAAAAATGCCTTAGTCTCTTGGTGGGTCTAGCATCTGATTTCACGTTGATACCTGCAATGGGTTCCAGGACATAGTGATATTCCTGTTAACTATGTAGCTGACGAACTAGCTAGGGCAGGCACCACCCTACAATAAGACTCTGAAAACAAGGGTATTTATATATCTCTGGCTACTTGTAGATATTTAATCGACAAACATGTTATAAATATAGCAGAGTTAGGCAAATGTGGCATAAATTGAACATGGGCTGAACATGACGACTATTAAAATTCAAAAGGAATGACATTAGAACTCTAGTAGTAGTGCTTAGTAGTGCTAACAGGTCGCATCTAATTGGCAGATATGCCAGCAGACTGGGCACACCATATAATGGCTATTGTAGAAGCTGTCAGAAGCTAAATCGCCTTAGTTCATCATGCTGACAATTCATATATACGACATTTTCTTCTGAGTGTTACAAACTTCCTGGCAAACCTAATATATCAAGATATATTTAACCATAAATCTGATGTTGTTGAAATAATTTTTATTTTCTCATATATTTTATCCGCAAACACTTCTTTTCTTGTAATATATCACTTTTTCTTTCATAACTAACAACAACAATAATACCCATTGACACACCCTTTACTACATGCAAGTTGTCACTGAGGTCTATAATTTACATACGTATACACGCATATTTAACTTTTCGCCTTTCCGCCTGCCCACCAACTCATTCATGCATTCATTTTTATTTTCAATAATTGCTTGTTACAACAAAAACATGCATCTGAACAATGCTTGTTATGAAAATAAAAACTTATAATTTCCTTTTTTTCCCACTCTGTAACGAAAGTGGACCCTCGTGGGCTTGGTAGTGCGCGAGAAAGTGTGTGAATAAATATACTCGCCTGTATTAATATGTGTGTATATATGTGTTTGTGGAGTCGAGAAGTAAATTGTATGGTGATTGTGAACTTGTCAATTGCCTTAATGATCGCCTCATTCACAACATTCACACACTTACACATAATGTACAACGCATTTGTTGCTGTAATTTTAATTGCTTCTCTTGATTTTTGTTGTTTTATTTGCCTGATCATCATCATCGTCTTCTTTGGCGTCATACTTTTCATTGTCACTGTACGCAGTGTTATAGTTAATAATTTCATATTTGGCTGTCATCGGCACTTGAAACGTCACAGCGGTGGATTCATACAAACAAACATATTTACATTATAAGAGACAGCAAGCTAAACATTT